GGGGGTCGGACCCCCCTCTCCCTCCCTCCCTCAAGTGGGGGTCGGACCCCCCTCTCCCTCCCCGTTATGGGGTCTGAATTAGTAGCCTACCACAGAGACCCCTCCGTCCCAGACACCCCCCTCACCCCCCTCACCCCCATAGAGGGTGGGGGGTCACACCCCCTGGGGGTGCCGCTCCCCGCTCCCCCGCCCCAGCTGGCTCTCACGTCATCAGCGGACCCCACGCAACCCCAGGTATTTATATCTTACTTTTAAACGCATGTTTATAATAAAAATAATTGTTTCAAGTATTTATATCTTACTTTTAAAAGCATGCTTATCCCACAAATAATTGTTTCAATTAATAATTGAATTACAGCACTTACTTTACTTTACTTTATTACCACGTCTCTCGACTTCGTTCCGTGTCTGTCTGTCATCAAAAATTCAAACGTTAATTTAGAGCACTTCTAAAGATCCTAGAAACTTGAAATTTGGTATGCATGCTTATGCTGCCTAACAATTCAAGATTTGATCATCAGAAGTAATAATTTAAAATTTAAAAAAAAATAAAAAAAAAACCTAAAAATTCATGGTTAGGAATTGAGTTTTTTGTCAAACATCCAGAGTTGCCAACCCTGGAAAATGATTTGAATTGCTAAAATTGCTAAACTAAAAAGTAGAAAATAAATAAATATAAAAAAAATATTTTTTAAAATCAAGTTTTTCTAGTTGTTACAAAACTAAAAACAACGAAATAAAAGAAATAAAAAAGTAAAAAAAAACGTTTTCTTAACGGACAAAAAAGAAAAACATTAACTCTTACATAACATTAAAGTTATGTAGAATCTTATGTTATGTAAGACTAGTAAGAGTTAATTTTTTTCTTTTTTGTCCGTTAAGAAAACGTGGTTTTTAAAAGTATTTTTTATTTCTTTTACATAGAACTTACTTACTTTATATATGACATGTACGCATTTAAATGTTACTTTTAAACGCATTTTTAACCCACTAATAATTATATTTCTATTAATAATTTTATCACAGAACTCAAATATAAAACATTTATGAAATGTACATTACACAATAGATGGTGCTTACTTTATATATTACATGTACGCATTTAAATGTTACTTTTAAACGCATTTTTAACCCACAAATAATTATGTTTCTATTAATAATTGAATTATAGAACTCTAATCCAAAACATTCATGAAATGTTCAGTACATAATCGATGCTTACTTAGTACATTACATGCCCATGTTGACATGTACGAACTTGAATGTTACTTCTAAACGCCTTTTTGTCTCGCGCACAAAATTATATTTCAATCAAAACTTACCTGTAACACATTTAAATAATTATCGAGTCATAATAATGATATACAAACAATCATACAATTTACACCTCAAGCGTATATAATTGATGATGGTTATTAACTACATGCTGACGTTTGTATATATGGGCGAATATTGCATTGAGGAATACAGTTGAAATAATTGATTGTAACATAAAAAACAGTTAATGCGTTGTTGATAGAATATTATAGATTATATGATCATATATTATGATTGTAAATATAGACGGATATTGCATTGAAGAATACAGTTAACATAATTGATTGTTACGGTATATGAAAAACTGTCGATGCATTGTTGCTAGAATATTATAGATAGAATAATTAATGTTGTAGACGCCCCCTGGGGGAGATAGAGAGATGGTCCCCGTGGGGGATAGCACCTACGTGGTGCCCTCCTCCACCCTCTCCCCTGCCACTCATCCCCACGACGACTTCATCTTCCTATGGGCAAAGTTCGCTTATTCCGTTGAATTTATTCTAGACTCAATGTTTTTGCGTCCAATGCGTGCCCCATTCGCTAATGCATATCCTAAGCATTGCCACCTTTGCTAATGCATATCCTAAGCGTTGCCACAATTGCTAATGGAATTCCTAAGCGTCGTCACATTTGCTGAGGCATATCCTAAGCGTTGTCACATTCGCTAATGCATATCCTAAGCGCTGTCACATTTGCTAAGGCATATCCTAGGCATTGCCACATTTGCAAATGGAAATCCTAAGTGTTGTCACAATTTCTAATGCATATCCTAAGTGTTATCACATTAACTAATGCTACCACAGCAAGTTGTAAGCGTTATCACCTGGGTTATCGTGCAGCTCGCGATAGCGATACCAGCAACAGTGACAGCAGGAGGCGTGTGTCGTAACGGCAGCTACAGGCCCAAGACGCGCGTCTGGAAGCTTTATTACGACCCCATCCACGTCCTGCTCAGGAGCTCTCAACGCAGCGATTTCCAGAACGCTGAACACCGCTACCATCAGTAGTGAGTACTACCATTAGGAGTGAGCTTTATTACGACCCCATCCACGTCCTGCTCAGGGGGTCCCAGCGCAGCAATTTCCAGAACGCTGAACACCGCTACCATCAGTAGTGAGTACTACCATTAGGAGTGAGCTTTATTACGACCCCATCCACNTGTGCCTAGTGGCCGCCATACGCACGCACCTGGGTGAGCTGTTGCTTAGTGACGTGTTCCATACGGCGTTACTTAGTAAAATTTCACATACGGCGTTACTTAGTAACATTTCACATACGGCGTTACTTAGTAACATTTCCCATACTGCGCTACTTCGTAACATTTCCCATACGGCGTTACTTAGTAACATTTCACATACTGCGTTACTTAGTAACATTTCCCATACGGCGATACTTAGTGACATTTCGCATACGGCGTTACTTCGTAACATTTCCCATACGGCGTTACTTAGTAACATTTCACATACGGCGTTACTTAGTAACATTTCCCATACGGCGTTACTTAGTAACATTCCCCATACGGGGTTACTTAGTAACATTTCCCATACGGCGTTACTTAGTAACATTTCCCGTATTTATCTTCACAGACCGGGACGTGTGTCGGCTGGTGAAGAGAGAGCTCGCCACCAGACTGTGCATGGCTGACCGCTCCTACTCGACGCTGGTAGACCTGCTGCCGGAGAAGCTTATGAAGGCCTCGTGCAAGGACCTGCCGCTACGCAAGCTCATCAAGAAGGTGCGTATACCTCGATTATTGCGTAGCATTTGATTACTTATCGGTAATGTGGGCAAAGTCAGCTTATTCCATTGAATTTATTGTAGACTCGATAATTTTTTCGCGTCCAATGCGTTCCACATTTGCTAATGCATATCCTAAGCGTTGCCACATTTGCAAATGGAATTCCTAAGTGTTGTCACATTTGCTAATGCATATCCTAAGCGTTGCCACATTTGCAAATGGAATTCCTAAGTGTTGTCACATTTGCTAATGCATATCCTAGGCATTGCCACATTCGCTAATGCCACCTACCACAGCCAGTTGTAAGCGTTATCACCTGGGTTATCGTGCAGCTTGCGATAGCGATACCAGCAACAGTGACAGCAGGAGGCGTGTGTCGTAACGGCAGCTACAGGCCCAAGACACGCGTCTGGAAGCTTTATTACGACCCCATCCACGTCCTGCTCAGGAGCTCTCAACGCAGCGATTTCCAGAACGCTGAGCACCGCTACCATCAGTAGTGAGTACTGCCATTAAGAGTGAGTAGTACCATTAGTAGTGGGTACTACCATACAGTTTTCGATGGACGGTTACCATGAAGTATCAAGTACTAACCATGCACAGCCATCACCGGCAATCTGCCCACGGCATCTCATATAAAGCAGTCACCCAGCACATGTAATTATAATTAAAAATATTAACGGATAGAAAGATCTTTAGTCAATATTACACAATATTTTGGCTGGGAGTATGAAGCTATATAGCACCGCAAATATGCAAGCGCGCATTGTTGACGTAACAACAGATACGATGCTACTGTATATAGGAGTGGATATGTACCTATAGGAGTGGATATGTACCTATACTACTGTATAGGCTCATATCCATTGTACTTATCTTGCTGAGAAAAATTATTTTAATTCCATTTATACTTCAAAAAGTTTTCCTGAATCCAGAATCGAATGGCCGATTTCTAATTAACGTTTGTGTCTTATTAACATCGAAGGATCGACAATTTGGTATCCTTAGTATCCTTAGTATTTGTTTGGGACATGGCAGTCCCAGGCCACGATGGATCGCCGCCTCTGATTATCGTTCATCCGCCCTCATTTGGGCCACCTGATGCACGATGCTGTTGCTTGCTTCTCGCCGCTGGTAGTGAATTCCAGCTCTTCCGGTTCCTCTGTACCTCAGGACCTCAAACTTGGTCCCGTTGAACTGCATGTTGTTCACTAGGGCCCAGTCATATATTGCAGATAGATCTTCTTGCAACCGCTCGCAGTCACTCCTGTCCATTATGGTCATTAGTATCCTGGTGTCGTCCGCGAATGACGATGCAGTGGCGTGGTTCACTGCCACATCTACATATGTCGGCGATGTGGATGAGGAAAAGGATTGGGCCGAGTACCGTTCCCTGTGGTACTCCACTCTTCACCTTAGCCACGCAATGGTCAATGGGTTCTCAAATTTTAGGCACTCTGATAAGAACAGGGTAACTGATGTTTTAGCTGAACTATATCGTGGCCTTGCTATTTATACAAAATATATACAGGACAAAGTCATGCTATTTATTGTCCTGTATCTATTGTGAATCTCGTTATAAAGAAGTACCCATTCAAAATAAATTATACAGATAATTACCTATATTAAACAGTTATTACCTATACAGTTATACAGTGAATTAAATTAAACAGTTATTATACAGTTATACATTGAATTAAATTGAAGAGTTATTATACACTTATGCAGTTAATTATATCGAATTATTAATTGTATCAATTAATGAAGGCTCAGTATAATTAACTTCATTTAAATTAATATATTGTTGTTTCTCTGTCATAGTTTGCTAAGCAAGAAGAAGGTCTCATCAGCATCAGACCTGCAGCATCTGTGGCCGGCGTTTGTGCTGCCGCGAGCCCTAGACCCTGACATGGCAGACCCCAGGGTCTTCCTCATCAACAAGACCCTACACGCCGTGTTCTTCGTCTACCTCTACAAGGCCCTCTACCAGCCCTACTTCAACCCTAACATCCTGCCCTACCTCATCTACCTCATGGAGATGACGCTCGAGTACCATGTCAGCCGTCAGGACCAGCCTGGTACGTATGGTTCTTTGGTTGCGTCATGGTTCTATGGTACGTCTAGCTTGTGGTACGTTATGGTCCCTCTGGCTTGTGGTACGTCATGGTTCTGTTTTATGGTTCCTATGGCTTATGGTACGTCATGGTTCTGTTTTATGGTTCCTCTGGCTTATGGTCGTCATGGTTCTGTTTTATGGTTCCTATGGCTTATGGTACGTCATGGTTCTGTTTTATGGTTCCTATGGCTTATGGTACGTCATGGTTCTGTTTTTCCTCTGGCTTATGGTACGTCATGGTTCTGTTTTATGGTTCCTATGGCTTATGGTACGTCATGGTTCTGTTTTATGGTTCCTCTGGCTTATGGTATCTACGTCTTGGTTCTATGGTCCCTCTTGCTTATGGTACGTCATGGTCCCTCTTGCTTATGGTACGTCATGGTCCCTCTCGCTTATGGTACGTTATGGTTCAATGGTTTAGGGTGTGAATGGTTACTTATGTCGTTATTTCGTTACAGTTCTATCATTTTTCAGGGTACAGTTGACTGGAAAACTCAAAGATTGAATATCAGTTATGTTGTTCAGTGTGAGATCTGCTCTTAGAGTCTGTAGGGAGGATGACAGCCTCCTGTTGTGATGGTCTTATTAATAATCTTTATCCATGAAGACAACTTCCAGAGAAATGGGTATATTCATCTGTTATAAGATCTAAGTATATCTTCTCCAAAGAAATATATTCATCCGCTATAGTATATAAGTATATCTCTCACTTTTCTTGCTGCTTGTTCATTCAGAAATGTTTCAGTTATCATCAATCAGAAATTTCCCCATTTTCCTGATGAATCTCTCTTCTATATCGTCTATATAACGTTGATGTTTCTAGTATATTCTTCTAGTTTTAACTATCCTATCCTACTTACCCTGAAACTATTAAACTTTTAATTATAACGGTTTTTAGTCATCTTTTATCTATGCTACCTTAGTTATCCTGAAACTATTAAACTTTTATTTATAACGGTAACTATCCTAGTTATCCTGAAACTATTAAACTTTTAATTATAACGGTAACTGACCTAGTTATCCTGAAACTATTAAACTTTTAGTTATAACGGTTCCTAGTCATCTTTTATCTATGCTACCCTAGTTACCGTAGAACTATTTAACTATTAGTCATAACTATTTACTCAGGAAGGGACCTGCTGACAGCGCAGTCAGATAGTATATTCCTCTAGTTTTAGCTATCCTATTGTGTTTAACTATCCTAGTTACCCTAGAACTATTTAACTATTAGTCATAACTATGCCCGCAGGCGGTGACCTGCTGACAGCGCAGTCAGACCGCCGGCCCGGCGACGGCGGTCTGCGCAGGGACGGCGACCTGGGCTCGTGGTTCCCTACAGACGACGTCTTCCGTAACGCCATCACCGTCGTGCCTGGTGTCGTGTTCGAGGCACGGCCTCACGAGCCTCCTAGTGACGGTAGGTGCTAGTGACGACCAGGAGAGGTTAAAAAACAGATCTGGGTGAAAAAAAAACCATCGCTGGGAGTCATGATGTGATGCACGTGTTGTGTAGAAATCGTCAAACAAACGTTCGAACTTCTGACTTCGACTTCGGACTACCGCCCCCCTATCGCCCCCCAAACGCCCCCTTCTTCCTTACCGCCCCCCAAAATCTTTCCACCGCCCCTAGGGGGGCGATATCGCCCACTTTGGGAACCACTGAGTTAGGTTATAGTTCCGTGTTGTAGCGCTGGGGTTGTTCGTTTATGGTTTAGGGGTTCAATATTCGTTAAGTTATAGTTCCGTGTTGTAGCGCTGGGGTTGTTTTAATATTAATTAACTTAAGTTGAAATTACGTGTTTTAATGCTGTGGTTGTCTTTTAATATTAGTCCAGTTATAATAACGTGTTTCATTTAAACCAGGACCGTATTTTAATATAACTTAGTTTGAGTTGCGTACGTGTTGTAATTAAGTAAGTTACAGTTACGTGTATAAACACTGTTGTTTATACACAGCTGATCTACCAAGAGACGCTGATCGGGCTACACAAGAGCCCGCTGTTCGATATCCCGAATCAAGTGAGCGCCTTCATCCACATCACCATGGGGCACATCACCATCTGTACGGACCTCTACATCCTTCAACTTGCGGCAGCACATCTACGACCTCAAGCTGTCGTCATGGCAACCCTACACAAGTACTTTATCGTGCTATAACTTCGTTATATAATGGTTATGGTGTTGTTATACGTTGTTTATGGTGTTATAATATTGTTGTATGATGTTTATGATGTTATAATATCTTTGTATAGTGTTGATGATGTTATAACGTTGTTGTATAATGTTTATGATGTTGTTATATGTTGTTTATGGTGTTATAATATTGTTGTATAATGTTTATGATGTTATGATGTTGTATTATGTTTATGATGTTATAACTTTGTTATATAATGTTTATGATGTTGTTGTATAATGTTGCAATAAATCCTGCCATTGATTGTGTAATGTTGAACTAATTCGTGTATTCCTGGTCGCTAATTCCTGTCATTTATAGCTACCGCATTGGCTACTATTAATTCCAGACACGGATTGGTGTCATCTATGCTCTAAGTTCCTGTTATCTCGGTCTTTATTACTGTCACTGATTGTTGCCACTTTTGACCATTATTGCTGTCTCTAATGTCACTGATTGTTGCCATCGATGACCATTATTGCTGTCACTGATAGTTGCCATTTATGACCATTATTGCTGTCACTGATGGTTGCCATTTATGACCATTATTGCCGTCACTATTGTCACTGATCGCTGTCATTCATGACCATTACCTCTGTAACTAATGTAACTGATTGTTGTCATTCATGACCATTATTGCCGTCACTAATGTCACTGATTGCTGTCATTCATGACCATTATTGCCGTCACTACTGTCACTGATTGCTGTCATTCATGACCATTATTGCCGTCACTAATGTCACTGATTGCTGTCATTCATGACCATTATTGCCGTCACTACTGTCACTGATCGCTGTCATTCATGACCTGTATTGCCGTCAGTAATGTCACTGATTGCTGTCATTCATGACCATTATTGCCGTCACTAATGTCACTGATTGCTGTCATTCATGACCGTTATTGCCGTCACTAATGTCACTGATTGCTGTCATTCATGACCATTATTGCCGTCACTACTGTCACTGATTGCTGTCATTCATGACCGTTATTGCCGTCACTAATGTCACTGATTGCTGTCATTCATGACCATTATTGCCGTCACTACTGTCACTGATTGCTGTCATTCATGACCGTTATTGCCGTCACTAATGTCACTGATTGCTGTCATTCATGACCATTATTGCCGTCACTACTGTCACTGATTGCTGTCATTCATGACCGTTATTGCCGTCACTAATGTCACTGATTGCTGTCATTCATGACCATTATTGCCGTCACTACTGTCACTGATTGCTGTCATTCATGACCGTTATTGCCGTCACTAATGTCACTGATTGCTGTCATTCATGACCATTATTGCCGTCACTACTGTCACTGATTGCTGTCATTCATGACCGTTATTGCCGTCACTAATGTCACTGATTGCTGTCATTCATGACCATTATTGCCGTCACTACTGTCACTGATTGCTGTCATTCATGACCGTTATTGCCGTCACTAATGTCACTGATTGCTGTCATTCATGACCATTATTGCCGTCACTACTGTCACTGATTGCTGTCATTCATGACCGTTATTGCCGTCACTANGTAAACAAAGGATGTAAGCGAGCTTGTGATTGGCTGACATGCAACATGGTTTGAAGGTACGGTCTTAGCTAAGTCGGTCGTACGAAAGTTTTGAAGGTGTCAAAAAACGCTGATCGTACGCTAGACGTATCTTCTTGAGCTTAAGTTCAAGAAGTTACGTCCACTTAGCAACGTTTGAAAGAACCTGCCCTGTTACGTAATGGGGGGATCTTGCACAGTCTCCCCCTTCTCTCGTTGTGATTGTCTCAATCCTGAAGGTCTCGCTCTCGAAGTTTGGCACCATTCCGGTTATCAATTTCCATGTGTACAGAATGACATACCTCTCCCGTCTCCTCTGCAGTGAGTAAAGACCCAGGCGCCTCAACCTCTCCCAGTAGTTCAACTCTTCCATCCCTC